CAGGCCTAGTCGTAACGCGCTCTGATAGCATGATAAAATGTACGACAGTTTAAGTGAGTTTTAACTAAGGCCTAGGCTTAGTAGCCTAGGCCCAAATAGGATGTCGAGTGGGTTTTGGCAAGGGTGAGGTTCGAGTGAGTTGAGGAAGAATGAGTTTCACTATAGTTTCGAAGAACATATAGCAAAGGAAACAAGTGAAGAGGTGCACCACCTACAGATTTAAATAACTACACTAACTACAGCTACAGGCAGTTACATAATATAAGTTCTGACATGAGCGCTGTCCCACGCTGTTGTTTTGTGTTGGTGTGCCGGACGAGATGACGATCGGCTCGTCTGATTGTGCAGATGCATTTGTCGATGCGTGTGGTGGCGCTGGAGTGTTCATCGTTGATTGCTGACGCGCGGAGTCACGTTCCGCCGTGAGCGTCGCAATTTCGAGCGCCGAATCTTCGAGTTGGCGCATTAGACGGTCGAGTTGCTCCTTCGTCAATGTGGCGAGCGTGAATTCGGCCATGGCGGGGGTGTCGGGCGAGCTCAGCGAAAGCCTCGGTCGTGGCCGTGCGTGCTTACGAGAGAGGACTACTAGCGGCGGTGCCGTGTCGCTGAGAGACGTCTACCCCCCCCAAAAATTGAGATAGTGGGGAAGCGAAGGTGTGGGTGCGGTCCGAGAGGAGATCGTAGGCTCTGAATACCAAGTGTTACGAGTGCAATTGAGTGAACGAACGAGAATTGCACTATCGAAGCAAGAGTACAATGAGCGAAGGCATGAGCGAAGAATATATAACGAAACTACAGTGGTAACAGTAATGGACTGTGGTTGTCACGTGACGGGCCTGGGACTGAGGTTGGGAAAAAGTGTCGAAGTGGAGGCCCGAAGCGCGGGTTACCCGCCGAGCCGTGAGGTCGGGGTGCGATGTGCGAAGGTGGCGGGCGGATTGTCGATGCGAGGGTTGCGAGTGGTAACGGTGCTGACTCTGGTGCTAGAGTGATGTACGGGTTGAGCAGGGATGCTAAGTAAGGTAAAGGAATTTTCCTTACTATGGAGTACAGTAGAACACAGTTTCAATTCCTTCATAGGAAAATGGATTAGAAAATGAAAACCAGCAAAAATTGCTCATTGCACGGTCTCCCCAATACTGCAGATTGCTCATTAGCAAGCTATTTCACCCACAGGCATTTCAAACACACATTGGTCGTCCTGTTTGTCATGGTGCTACACCCACGAGAAGTGGGTCGAGAAGTGGGTTGGGAGGAAGTAGAAGCTTAGGCCTTGCAAAACAGGAAGCCAAGAGGTCCTTTGCATGGATTGCAACCCAAGTTGACCTTGACAATTTCACTGCCACAGCAAGGAAAAAAACAAGCAGTTGCCACTACCACTGGTAAGTTACGATAACAGATTTGACGCAGAATTGATTGAAAAAGAGGATGAAGAAACGAAATACCAACACACTGACCTGTGCGTGCAACAAATATCGTGTGACTTACTCGTGGTCGTGCTCGACACTTGTGTCGTACGCTGTAGTCTTGACAACAAACATTAGCGTGTTCTTCCCCTTGGGCTTGATAGTTACGGACCCTCCATCCCCTACCTTCCGCTGAAACCTGAAGAGGGGAACGAAGAGACAATTGTTAGTTTTGCGATTTCAGGTGACGTTCAGAGCCTGAAAACTCACATTAATCGCACGTCACATTTGAGTTCGTTTGAGCCTCATAGTTCACCGCGACTCAGTTTGAAAAATGATTGTCTGTATTTGAAACGAACGGCTGAGAGTCGTCCGAGTTGAGATTTGCATCTGGAAGAAATGCATCAGAGCGCAGCTTACTTGAGAGACGACGGGCCGCCGCTTTTCTGCTTGAGTGTCAGCACGTCAGGACTCCACGAAGCGTCCGCGACTCCGGTCATCGACGCCCCCGTGAGCGCCAAAACCTTGGGGGTTGAGGAATCGCTCGAGACCGCGAAAGCGTCGCCCGTCATTTCGCCGTCGTCGGAAAACCCGACGCCGTACCATCCCTTGCTGCGAAATCCGTTGCCTTTCAGGAGGAAATTTACGGTGGTGGAATCGACGACCTTCCAATGGAGGCTTACGCTGTCAAAACATAAAAGACAGGAGACATTGTGCAAAAGACGTCTTGTCAACACGTCGTCATCATCAGAGGAACTCGATATGAATAACTGGAACAAATACGTCAGTTTAACTGGCTGTTGGAACGAGGATCAAACGCTTACCCTTTGATTGGGGAGATCGCTGAAGTGTACCCTTTGACCGACGAGAAAGAGCATCCCTGAATCAGCGCCGGAAGCGACACCAACACAAAGAGGACGGCGACAACACGCATTGTAGTAGTCGTTGTCGCCGTCTCGAAATTCCGCAAGCAAGTCATTGTGAAGACTTCTTCGAAAAGAAGGAGCCTTCGATTTGCACAGCAGACGGGGTGGACGCTGCTTCGCGTCGGAAGTGTTAATTGCGAGGTGAGGAGAGATGGGCTTCTGGTGAGAGTGGCGGCGGGGCTTGGAAGTGGTCGGGGTGGGTTGTGGCAAGGTGGTGGAGCGTGGGGGGCTCGATGAGTGTGATGGGAGGAATGCAATGAGCACGGGGGAACTGGTGAAATACTCCATAACCCGCCAGGTTGTAGTAAACCAGGCAGGGCACGCCATGCTTGGGAAAGGCCGGGCTAGATCTGGGAGGCTGGTCTGGGAAGTGACCAAGTGCGGCAGCGGGCGCCGCACCAGACCATACCAGCTGGTCTGGAAAGGTTTCTTGACATGTTGCAGATAACGGAGCAGGCTTGGTTATACAGTTCCGTATGCCCAACAAAGCTTTTGATTTGACCTGAAACTTGTGAAAGTTTTTTGACAAGGAAACATGGCCTTCTCTGGTGTGCCTCAATTCCACTTCACACGCATTGTCGAGAACAATTGGACTTTCAGACAGCTACGACTGCAGTCATGTACACCCCCATGTGTTGTATCCAAAAACGAATACTTCCAGACGACACATGGGGGTGGGTAGTGAGGCTTTTCTGAGCTGAGCTACGGGAAGTCAAACTGAGGCTTGGGTCCGTCAAACTAGAAGAGGTGGTTTGGTTACCCTGGCGGGCTGAGCGAGTGCCCAAACCACGCCTAGTACACACCACCAAAACGCAGCCACCACGGCCGAATTTTAGTTTCTAGTTACATCATTGTAGCGGGCTGGAGTTGATGTGGTCAAAAGCGCAGATGAAAAAAGTAAATCATTTCATTTGGGAGCCACAGAGTAACCAACTGTGATTTATTCAATTTTCGAATCATTTTTCTTGGGAGAAAGAAGCACTATCTGTACCCGTTTCTGCTGGGAAATTCCACAAGCTTTGGAATTGAGAGCTGGGTGGGTTGTGTGTTGTGGGTTGGTTTGGGAGCCACAGAGTGCGACTCGCCACAAGCCGTACAAAGATGTGGAACGCTTATCACATGGACACACGTGGACCTAATGATGGCTGCCAAAAGTCCTTCGCGCTGGATATCCATAAGGTATGTGATACGGCGTTCGGTCCGTCGATTTCGTCTATCACTCAAAAGGTCCTTCAACAAACGGCCTTGATCTCCTAGAACGGGCAAATCAGAACGTCGCACAACGATAATGGATGCACCAACCGACCTAGTTCACTCCACAAATGAAAACCTCGGTATTGAGAGACGGCACAGCCTTAGGTTGGATCTTTGCAGTCGAGTTTGTTGCAGTGCACAATCCATAAAACAGCTCCGTAAATGTTAGTTGGCTATAAAAAACACTAGGTAATCGAAACTCTTTTGACTAGAAGGGTGATGCTACAATTTCTACAGGAGAGGCTAATGTGGAGAGATGTCTATAAATGCACCAAGTACCCATCACCAGTGGCAGAACGAGTCAATCTTCTGAGCCTGGTTTGTGAATTTACTCCCATACATTACATCGGTTTAGCCGCTGTCAAAGCTATGACTGTATACGAACGACTGCCGACATTGTGCAGCTGCTGTTCTCCTTGTAACCAGTGCGCCTATCAACGACCTGCTTAGTTAAACGTATTGCAAAGCATCTTGCGGACGACGCCCGAGCAGCCATTGCAGGAGAGATCAATGACGGCATGGCCACTGCACGTGAATGGGAGGGAGGGAAGGGAGGGAGGTAATTGAGAAGGGGCAAGGGGAACAGAGGGACGAGATGGAGGAGAGAGATTGGAACGTCAGATTGTAGAGAAAGGAGGTAGGAGCCGCAGTCTTAGTACAGCCTGGAACGTCAGAGATATTCGGAAACTTAGCAATTCAAGGATTTATCAGGGCTTGCAAGGGGTGCACGTACCAATTGGCGTGGCTGTTGGGTTCCAACCAAGTGGTCTTTGCGAAGACCATGCGACTAGCCTAGAAACTCAGAGAATTCTAGAAATCTATCAGGGGCTAAAAAGGGGTGCATCCCGACAACGTGGTCTTTGCGAAGGCCATGTGACTCGGCTCGAACTTCAGAGATAATTTTAGAAATCTATCAAGGGCTTGAAAGAGGTGCACGTACGAGTAGGCGTGGCGGGTGGATCCCGACCACGTGGTTTTGGCGAAGGCCCACGTGATGTAGTTGTTGCCCGAGGGGTTCAGCGCCACCACCCCGCCGTCCGACGTGGTGCGAGTGAACCTGCGCACGAACGAAATAGGTTGATCAGGTTACAGACAAGTTAACGACAGCCTGCGTGACGTAGTTGTTGCCTGATTCCAACCACGCGTCGTTCGCACTGCTGTGACGGGCAAGCAGCTGCTACAAGAAATCACTTATACATCATTTAGCGAGTGCTGCTTAGCTCTCGTGCTGCCAGTCTCGGTAGTAAGGTTACTTGCTCAATGGAGGTACCCGTGCCGATCATGATAGTAAGCGATACTTACTACCCAGTCGCGTCCGTTACGTCAGTCGCGCTGCTCTGGCCGTCGAGCGTCTGCAGCTTGAATATGTGTTTACTTGGGACGTTGCCTAAAGGTTTCTGGTAATTTCTCCGACTTACTCGATGGTGGTACCCGAGGGTTTCTTGATGATCTTCAGTCCCGTCGGCGCCCACCCAGTCGCGTCGGTCACGCTGCTGTGGCCGTCGAGCGTCAGCAGCCTGGGCGCGCCGGCGCGCATGCTCTCCGCGATGATCGCATCGCCATTCATCTTGCCGTCCTTGGAAAAGCCGACGCCGAACCACCCCTTGCCCGTCCCGGGGCCCTTAGTCATGTGAAACGCGAATTTGATCGTGTCGCTGTCGACCTTCCTCCAATGTAGATGCACGCTGGTAGTAGGGTCGGGTGGAGTGGATGGGGATGGCACGGGAAGGAGTGGATGGGGATGGCACGGGAAGGAGTGGATGGTGGGAAAGGGGAGGAGAGAGAAGCGAGAGTCTGGCGAGGAAGGACGAAGAGGAGGGAAACACGGGAAGCATTCTGCAAGAGATTATTGAAATGTCAAGTGAGTTGCTTGTGGATGCTAAGTCGATTTTTGCGTCGACTCAGAAATCGACTTATCACTTGTGGAAGCTTTGCGTGTGGATCGAGTGGAGGAGACACGTCTTTGCATATTTACGACAAGGAAAGGCGCTTACTTGGGATAGACGAGGAACGATGACGTGTAGTCGCCCAGGCTGGACCACCCGCACTTGCGCAGTATCTGGCCTGGCACGAAGGGTTTCTTCACCACCTTCCCGGCACTCGCGCCGTGAGAGGCGGCGAGGACGACGATCGCGAAAAGGAGGAGAGGGAGTGCGCGTGATGCGCTTCGACGAGCCATATCGGACCGGAAGCGGGAGCGGGATCGGAAGACGGAGAGCGGGCGTGGGAGAGCGAGCCGCAAGGGCAGTGAGAAGGCGTTTAAATATTCACGGATCCGGGAGAAAAACTAGTGACCGGGTTATGATTAGAATCAAAACACGCCCAGACTAGTAGTGTCGGTTGGTGATTTCGATGGCGTAGAAAGGATGTGTGCGGAGTGGAGACGGTAAGCGTAGTCGCGTGACTAAGGATGTAGGGAAAGGTGGTTTATATAGTTGACTGTGGCACGAGAGGCGCTGCGGGCTTGATATCCACCGACAGCAGCGGGGTCGAGTGATAATGCATTGAAATGCCACGCTGAGATGGACGGCGGGCGCGCCCGCCAAAATTATAAGCCATCTAAAGGCGATGTCTTGCTCAGCTATCTGGTACTCGTGCGACTGTACGATAGTCACGTAAGTGCCAGCTGTAACTTCCGTGTGTTGTGGTGTGTGTGTGCAGTGCACGATGCCTTGGTGTCAAAAGTGCTAGGGTGAGGACAACTAGGAAAGGCTGAAATGTCGGGAGGGATGAATGTTGAGGATGAAATGTCGTGAAATGCGTGCCTCGGAAAATATTGTCGAGTCGCGATGCTGAGCACGAGCATTTTATGCGATTGGTTGATCAGCGAGACTTCCGTGAAGTGTGATGTGCGTGTGTAGATTTGCTCCTGCCTAGGGAATGCCATGCGCGAGGCATTGGCAGCAGGTGACGCAACGGTTCTCGTCTGGTGATGGTGATGGCAAATACCCGCTATGCAACAATGAGACGACAATCGTTATCCTCATAAGATGTTCAGTTGTTTCACATTTTCGCCTTACATAAACATTGAACGAAATACCAGACCACTGGTACTAAACGTATTGATGTTTGTTCAACATGGCGTGTTTCATCATCCTGTACATGATAAATTTAGCGTGTATTCATCGTTAGATGCCTTTAAATAGACTTTTGATCGGACAAACAATGCATAGAATGCGATGATACTTGGACACATATAATGCTGGTTGAGCCGTTAGGTTATTCCAAGACCCCCTATGCTTTGCCTTCGCTGGCACCCAGAAAATCTCCAACGGCACCCAGGTCCTCACAAGCTGATCGGTAATGAATGCCCCCTCACCTTGCAATCAGCATCGCATCACAAAGCATGGCAACAACACATCACATGGCATGACAATCCAAACCCACAGGGCATGCTGCAGTGTGGAAGCTGATATCTACAAAACACTTTGCTTGGGCAATACAGGCAGAAAATACTACGGTACCAGTATGAAATGTTTATTTAACCCTGAGAAACATTAGGAAACTAGGCTTGCCGATTATAAAAAGCAGTGACAGAATGGAAGGCCCAGATTATCTAGCCGGAGTATCGTTGCAACGCTTTGCTTCGAACTGGTACAATCCGACTCATGATACGAACAAGTCGCACACATCTCTGTCAAATGTTGTAGCCTGTAGTGAGGTTTGTCTTAGGGGGTACAGAAGTTAGGGTTTGTTATATGTACCCCAACCAACATCAATGGAACATTCATTCCTCATTCTGACATGGTATCAGCTAGGTTAGGATCCTGTGGGATCCCGTTCCTCCGTTCTCCGTTCGTACCTCCCGAGCCTGATCCTACCTCTCGTTCGTACCAGTTTCGTTGTTACCGCGCCTAGTACCGAGCCTAGCGCCATCTCCCCCGTCGCGTCACGCCCGTTCCCCCCCGTCGCGTCGCGCCCGTTCCCCCCGTCGCGTCGCGCCCGTTCCCCCCGTCGCGTCGCGCCCGTTCCCCCCGTCGCGTCGCGCCCGTTCCCCCCCGTCGCGTCGCGCCCGTTCCCCCCGTCGCGTCGCGCCCGCCTGTTACCCCCCCCCGTCCCGTCGCCCTGTCCCGTCGCGTCGCCCTGCCCTGTCCCGTCGCCCTGTCCCGTCGCGTCGCCCTGCCCTGTCCCGTCGCCCTGTCCCGTCGCGTCGCCCTACCCCGTCGCGTCGCCCTGCCCTGTCCCGTCGCCCTGCTCCGTCGCGCCGCCCTGCCCCGTTGCGTCGCCCTGTCCCGTCGCGTCGCCCTGCCCCGTCGCGTCGCTCCCGCCCTTTCCCCCATCGCGTCGCCCTCCCTAGGCCCTGGCCCGTCGCCCTCCCTAGGCCCTGGCCCGTCGCCCTCCCTAGGCCCTGGCCCGTCGCCCTCCCTAGGCCCTGGCCCGTCGCCCTCCCTAGGCCCTGGCCCGTCGCCCTCCCTAGGCTCTGGCCCGTCGCCCTACCCTAGGCCCTGGCCCGTTGCCCTACCCTACGTCTTGGCCCGTCGCCCTAGCCCGCTCTTCCGCTGCGACTGAGTCCTCTTCCCCCCCGGTTGTTACTCGCCTGTTCGTTCGCGTTGGTTCTCACTATGGCGACTCCGCGAGTTCTTCGTTTTGACGCCGACGGTAGACCCCTTGACTTTTCCGTCTGGCTTCTTCGCGCTCGTCGTCTGTTAGAGAGTCAGGTCCAGGGGGGCGAGACCCTCTGGTCACACGCTACTGGTGACCTCCCCGAGCCCCCCGAGCCTACAGCTTTAGGCCATGCTCCTGACGACGCTGCTACGGCTCGCTTTGCCCGTCAGCGCGCTGACCGGACGGCTTGGACGTCGCGTGACGCTGCGGCCTGCATCGCACTCAGCAGCCTCCTCCCTGAGTCCGAGGAGGTCCACTTTACTCAGGTTCGCACCGCTGCTGCGTACCTCACTGCGATTAAGGCCCGCTACTCTACTCCCGCTACTGTCTCTCTCGGCCGTCTTTTCCTCCCGTTCCTGTTTCTTGATCTTGCCTCGTTTGAGCGCTCTGCTGACTTGATCGCTCACCTCCGCTCGCTCGACGCTAGTTACCGCGCTGCTTGCACTGAGGCACAGCTTGCACTGCTTCCTCCCCCCATGGCGATTACTGTCTATTTCATCGCCACTAGCCTCCCTGACCGCCTTGCCTCCGTTCGTGACGCGCTTCTGCTGAAGCACCCTAGTGAGCTGACTATCGAGGTCCTTGAGTCTGCACTCAAGGACGTCGAGAGCAACCTTCGTTCGGTAGCTGCCGCCTCTGGTACTGTGTCCCCCCCACTCTTCCACGGGTGCACAGTCCCGCAGTTACCCACCTTCACTGCCTCTCTTGCCACTGCCGCCACTGACGCGACTGCGGCTGCTGTTGCGACTGCGTCGCGGTCCCGCGGCAGGGGGGGCAAGAAAGGTGGTTCCGGTGGAGGTGGAGGCGGAGGTAGCGGAGGTAGTGGGGGTGCTGTTGCGACTGGCGGTGGTGGGAGTGCAGCGTCTGGAGAGACCCCTCGTGCAGCGGCTGGTGACTCCACTGCACCTGCTGGTGGCGGCGACCCTCGAGCTCGTCAGTCGCCTCCTGTACTGCCGGCCCCGCTAGGTGGAGCAGCGGCGTGGTACCAGGCTCAGCGTCAGCAGCACCTTCAGCAGCAGCAGCAGCCCCTTTCCTCCCAGCAAGCCTCAGCAGCAGCAGCGTCAGCAGCTGGCTCCGGGGTCGGGGCTGCGTCAGCCCCAGCGCGGTGCTGCTTACCCTCCCTGCCCCTACCAGGTTCAGACAGGTCCTCGTCGGGGCCACCCTTGTGGCCGCTTTCACCCCCCTGGTCAGTGCTTTGCTCAGCTCACTGACACGGTCCGGTTGACCTACGGGGTTGGCGGTCCTGCTCCTGACTGGCTTCCTCTGGTTCAGCGCTACTGCTCCGCTCTGTGGGGCATGTCTGCTGAGCAGTTAGTTGATCTGATTAGTGCTCCTCATGCTATGTATGCTGTTGTTGACTCTAGTGTTTCTGACTCTGTTTACTCTGGTGTTGTTAGCTTAGGTGCTAGTCTTGCTCAGTTGCCTGTTGCTAGTGTAGGTACTTGTGTAGACTCTAGACCAGCGACTACCTCAGAGGACGCTTCGCTGTCGTTCACACTGGACTCTGGAGCCTCCCACTGCTTCTTTCGGGACAGCACGACACTTATACCACTTCCTGCGCCTGTTTCTGTAGCGTTGGCTGATCCCACTACGGGACCAGTCACTGCACGTCACACTACCACTTTACCGTGTCCTGCTGCTCCCTCCGGGTCTCTCACTGGGTTTCACGTCCCCTCGTTCTCCCGGAACTTGGTGGGCGCGCGACCCCTCGTGAGTCAGCACGTGGGTGTGTGGTTTGAGCCTTCTGGAGAGACTGCGGTGTGTGTTGACGGAGACTCTTACCAGCCTCTTGCTACCTTTACTGCTGAGCCGGGCTCGGGTCTCTACACTCTTCACACTGGCCCGCGTGCGCCGCAGCAGCAGCCGCAGCAGCAGCCGCAGCCACAGCAGCAGCAGCAACAGCGGCCGCACCAGCAGCCCCCCCTACTGCCACTGCCCCCGGTTCCCCCCCCCGTTCGGGTCCCCGCGTCTCACCAGGTTGCTACGTCCCCCCAGGTGTCTGTGTCGTGTCAGGTTCCTACGTCTGTTCCAGTCGCTGCGTCGTGCTCCTGCCGGTCGCTTGCCCACCCCACCGTTCTGTGGCACCACCGGATGGGGCACCCGTCCCTTCCACGTCTGCGCGCTATGTCTAGTCAGCGTCTTGTCCTAGGCCTCCCACGTGTCTTGCCGTCGCTGCCGCCTTCGCCTGCGCCGCCGTGTCGTCCCTGCGTCGAGGGTAGGCTGCGCGCCACCCCTCACTCCTCCTCCCTTCGTCCGGCCACCGAGCCTTTTGAAACACTTCACTTGCACGTCTGGGGCCCAGCCCCTCGTCTAGGCCCTGAGCGTGAGCGTTACTTTCTGGTGGTCGTTGACGACTTCTCCCGCTACACCACAGTGTTCCCTCTGGCGAAGAAGTCGGAGGTGACTTCTACGCTGATTAGGTGGTTGCTCACCACTGAGGACACTCGTGGTCGTCGTGTCAGCTGTCTCCACTCCGACCGTGGGGGTGAGTTTCGCTCCGGCATTCTCGCTGGATTCTGTCGCGAGCAGGGCATTCGTCAGTCCTGGACGCTTCCAGAGTCCCCACAGCAGAAT